CTTTATTTTATTTTTTAAAGATTTTATTTATTTGAGAGCGTGAGTGAGAGAGAGGAGAGAGAGAGAGCACAAGTGGGGGGAGGGGGAGGGGGTAGATAGAGAGGGAGGAGCAGATTCCCTGCTGAGCAGAGAGCCCAGACACAGGGCTTGATCCCAGGATCCTGGGATCATGACCTAAGCTAAAGGCAGACGCCCAACCATCTGAGCCACCTAGGCGTCCCTAAATATTTTATCTTTTAAATAATAGATAAATATTCCCTACAACTCTGAAGGTGGAGAGTTGATAAGACCATAGTTCTCTTGCCTATTAAAATTGCCTGTTTGTCACCCTTATTGGATTTCTGGAAAATAGAGGCCCTGTCTTTATGGCTTAACCATTGTTTCTCCAGCTCTTAGCATCTGCTCAATAAATAATAACTGAATGAATGAATGAGCAGAAGTCTTATTTTTGATATGTTTAACAATTATTTGAAATATTAGTTCTTACATTAATGAATAATATGCCATGATAATCTTGGACAAAGCTTTTATTTACATCACACTTTTTTTCCACTAAAATTGTACCGTTTGAAAGGAAAGGAGAATTAGATGTAAGAGCATTTCCCACTTATAAACTCAATATGATGTCATGTGTAATAAATTATGTAAAGTCATAAACCATCATTGTCAATACCATTTTCAAATTCTACAGTTTTCTTCACATGAAGCTTTACCATTACTCTTCTTATATCTAAATCAGGTGTGTGAGAAAGAACTATACTGCATGGATTGGGCAGTTAAAATGATGCAAAAAGTCTGTAAAGTCTTTAGCACTCCCATGGAGAGAAATAACTTCCTGCAGAGTGTGGCGAATGCATTTGCATGTGTTATAATGGAAATGCTGCAGGCAGTTATGTCCGGTGAGTGAGTGTGTGTGTAGACGGTGCACAAGTGTGACTAAAATGCATTCTAGTCTCCACTTAAAACAGCGCTAATTCCATGTAGACTTTTATTTCTAAACCAAGAATAGAAGAAGCAGACATTTCTGTTTATTTTTCCATGACATATATTTAGCTCTTGGTTTTGCTACTTTTTAAGTCTTGTATGGATTTCAATGGAAAACCTAAAGTTGAAGAGTCTGCTCTGAAAGGAACCAGTTCCAGTTTTGCACAGCAAAATGTTCACTTGCTCACTTACCAACTATCCTAATCATCATAATAATGCCCTATATTGTTTAGTTTCAACACATACTATTGTAGAGTTTTATTAGTTAGCCAACATGATAATCAACCCTATTTTACAGATGAGAAAACTAAGGCTTAGAGACACTACTTTACTTGCCCAAGATCATAGAGTTAGAGGCAGTAAAGCATGGACCAGCATCCTTTTCCTCTGACTTCTTATTCAGTGCTCTTATATAGTTCCCTGATTTTGGTGGTTAATGTCTGACTTAGTAAATAAAGATCACTAACTAGTCTTCTGTTACTTATTTTTAGGGAAAATTGGAACATTTTATTCCAAATAAATCATATATTTGAAAATTTAACCGTCATTTTCTTTTCCCTACTGTCCACTCCTGTGTGTGGCATACAGGAGACCGTGATGAAGACGACAGAAGCTTTCTGAATTTGTTCCATCTTGTGCACGCTCAGGCAAACTTCCATAAGGAGGTCTTGTATTTGACCATGAATACTCTCTCTACCTAAATACTCAGAAAGCCTTGCATTTAGAGAATACCTCACCGAACAAACAATTGGAAGAGTTCTACTTTTCCACACTCAAAGAATAGCATCCATGGGACTTTTTATCACCTAAATAACCTAACAACTCCAAAGCTGCACAGAATTTTAGAAGCAACTGCTTGCACCATTATTAATATAAAAATTACAGGCAAACCCAAGAGTGTTTTGAGATTTCTCCAGAAAACAAGCTGTGTCTCTCCAGATTTTGGTAAACCTAACACCCAACTAAATAGAGCACTAGTGTCCAAGAATCGGGGGCCAACCTGTATGTGTGGATGTTTGAAGCAAGAGAAAATTCTGTTCTGTAAGTAGAGGTGACTCAAATTCACTAAATGGCTTGTATCTGTTCGCTTTGCTTAGGTTGTATAGACATAACCTAGAATGCTTGATAAAGATCTGCAATATGATGCTTTGGAATGTGTAGATATAAATCACATTTTTTCACCACCTTATAGAACATTATATTTTGTTGATGTTTTACATGAACTAACAGGTCAAAAACCAAAGGAAGTATGTGTGTATATACATAGTCATACATATATAAGTATGTCTGTATATCTGTATACATACAAACGCACACACACATACACATTTTCGTCTTTAAGACAAAAGTCTATAAATAGAGGAAAGTATATGTTGTCTTAATACAATTAAGTCATCTTTTATTCCTTCCTGGAGATTAGAGTAAAATGTCGCAAATAAGGGAGAATATAAAATGAAAGAAAGTACCCATTCTGCCGCCAGAACAATCTTCACAGATAATTTGCATTTCTTCCTAAAACTTTCCTCCCTATCTTAAAGAGCGGGGCTCGAAGGAACCCGGTAGCAGCATGCATGGTGAGGGCCGCCCTGAGAGAGTGGGGTTTCACTCCAGTAAATGGATTCCAAAGAAGCTCCAGGACTATTTCAGTCTGATTAACATTTACCCACCGCTTTTACTATTAAAATAGAAACCAGTAGTGTCTCATGGGGCTGAAATCATGCTGGGGCCCTCCTGGATCTCCCATTTTCTTCTCCTTGGGTTTGATCATTTTATTTCTGCTGAAGGCACACCCATTCCCACTGGACTTCTCAGAGGCTGGCTTTCTTTTCCTAAGCCCTTGACTTAACTCACCTCTGCAGCTGAGGAAGGAAAGGAGCACTAGAAAATATAGAAATTACCCACATAAGTGGGATGTAAATTGTGTAATTTGTGGGAAATTCTCTAGTGTTTGCCAAGAGTTTAATAGGATTCGGGAAGAGTGAAAATTTTGAGAAAAATATAAATTGTGATAACAAAATGTTACTATATTTCAGTAGCAAAAGCACTTACCTTAGTTTTTAAAATATCAGAAATTAACTACCTTTCCCTGATGAATCGTCCAACCATAATTTCATCCGTGGCAGGAATTTTTTTCTCTGGAGTTTAGTATTTGCATATTCATGCAGAAACAAAGTTCTTGCTTTTCTCCTGGTTTCATTTTCTTCCTCTCATTTTAAGAATTCACCCACAATTAAATTATAAAGATTAAAAATTGGCAGATACCAGAATACAAAATAATACCTTGATTTTAGCCTTTCTTTCTCCCTCTTTCACTCTTTTTCCTGTACATGCTCTGGAAAGCCTAATCCATTTATTTATCAAAACACTGGTGATTCCAAGTTAACAGTGTACCCATTAGATTATTTGGGGGAGGGTGAAGAAAAGTAGAGGAAAAAGTAAAAATTTTAATGTAAACTGAATATTTTCAGTATTTCACTCAATAGACACTGTTTCATTCTCTTAGAGAAAGAAATTTGGCTTTGTGAAGTTTCCTTGAATTATCTAAGTCCCCACAGTGGTTTACAAAAGAAGCATGGTTTAACTTAACATGTTTTTGACCCAGATTTTGAATCTCCTTATACACTTAAACGGACATGACTGCTGCTATAAAATTTTTAAAACATATTATTATATTATCCTGGATAATTGTGAGATTATTATCTCACCCTCTCCCAAAATTTGGAACATAAAAAAATCAAATTCATTCTTTGGGTGCAGTAGATAAAGGATATCGTCTTGCTACCAATAAAAAGTAAACTGACAAGTTCTTAATTCAGTTATCAATAGATAAAATCACTAAAACCAAACTTGCAATTTCCTCAATTCAGCAGCCTGGTTTTTGTTTGTTTGTTTGTTTTTGTTTGGTTTTGTTTTTTGCCAAATGCATTTGTCATTAGGAATAAAGTGTGATATCAAATGTTTAAGAGGGAAATTAACTTGCAAAAGCACATATTGTTATCACTGGTATCAATGTTTAAGTGACAGACACTCATAGTACCACCGAAGAAGGAGTATTGGCAAAATGCATAGCCTAAAATTACTAGGAGATTGTCCACTTCTAACCAACTTCAGAACAGTCATAACATAACAACGTGAGCTGCTAACAGGTCAGATAATTTATCCTATCTCTTCTCCTAGATTAAAGATTGACCTGGTCTTCTAGCTCTTTTTTTCCTTTTGATAGTGATTCCCTCAGTCTCCTTTGACTTTCATTTGAGGCTGAATTTTACTTCTACTAGGAAGCAAGCCGCATGACACATCATTATATTTATCTTACCGTTGTTTCTAAACACACACCATGCTAATAAACTAAGGACACTTCTTTTCTTAGAAACTAATTTAATGTTTATATCTTGTGATAAATACTCTATACCTTAAGAAACCATGGAACATCTATCCTTAACACTTTTTTTGATAATTCCTTCTCATGCCCTTCTGATCCCTCAACTTCTTTATCGTATTCACAATGCAGGCAGTAAATTACTGTATTCGGGAAGTGGTTTAATCATTCCAGAAGTTCAAGTGGTTGCTTATCAGGTGGCTCTCTATAGCATGAACAGTAGACACCTTATTTCACACTTTTTCCAGTGCTTTGATGTTTTAGTTCATTCTTCCTGTTCTTCTGATAAGAACAAAGGTTTTATTGCCAGGATAGTCATCCACCTTAAGTGGAGATTAGAGCAAGCATGAGGTGTGCAGGGAAAGATGCAACTGGGAGAACCATCTTATGTTAATAAAAAACAAACCTTTACGTCTTTGTGTGATTATTACCTGAGAGTCAATGTCTTTAAGTGAATAGTACTCAATTATATGATTACAGATTTCTTTTCAATTCCACTAGCAGGTAGCGGTGAAACCTGTAAGAAATCAGGTTATGGACATATGCTCCTTGCTTTACTGAAACATCACTAAGATAGGAAAGATGACCTGAAAGACAGCTGTATTGGATAGTCTTCTCTAGGTTAAAATAAGAAGTGCTGAAGTACCAAGAACACAATTTTTTTTCATCAAGAGAGCAAATATAATTCCAGAAAATTCTTCAAGTAACCAGAGACTTAAAAAAAATATAGTTTAGCCCTCGAAAGGCTTTCTTATAGATATGTACAAAAGTGAAAAATATGCACTGTTATTTTTAAAGTATTATATTTATGGCAAAATGTCTTTGATATCTAAATATTAATATTTGCTAAATTTTATTTAATTTGTTATTTATTAAT